GTGCACGTGGACGGCGAGTAACTGTAAAATACATCGTTCAATTTGCATCATCCGGCGTGTGCCAGCCGTCCCCGAAATTAAGCGGCCAATTAACGGCTCGGCGGGCGGGGAACGATCGCGTTTCTTTGATCGTGCGCACGTCTGTACGCGCGCGATATAGCGACGCTCGCGCGTATAATTTGCGCGTTCCTCTTTCCAGGATACCTCGCGTATTAAATAAACGCGTAAATTGTTGAGCTTCAATTCGAGCTACTCGCGCTTGTGTTTGCTCGGCGAACCGAAATTTTGTCGGACCTTTCTTTGTTGACGCTGAAGGGGAGAAAAGCGAGGGGAAAGGACTGGCGGCAAGAGCGCAACACACGTATGCACTTGAGCAATGCTCCAATACGAGATACGTAATTCTCCCCCCCCCTCTCTCTCTCTCTCTCTCTCTCTCTCTCTCTCTCTCTCTCTCTCTCTCTCTGCCTTTCTCTCTCCCTCTTTCATGCAACGAGGGAGCAACGAGTTCATAATTTCGACTGAATGAACATCATTAGTGCACGAGGAGAGTATCGCACTGCGCATTAATTAAAGGTCACATACTAATAATTCTGCTCATCAACGAAAAAGCAACGGCGCAGCTCGGATTTGAGCCCAACACACACAGGCGCGCACACACACACACACGTACACGAAACGACGCGACACGACACGTATACGCGAACGTCACCGTTACACGGTGAGTATATCGGCTATTTAATCAATATACGCCAGAACCACCGGTTGGTCGCGACATAATCAGGCCTTTATCATTACGTAGCTCCATCCCGCAGTAATTTCTGCGAGGACAAGTGCACGAATATATCGCCAGACGAAAGTATCAACGATAAGTCTAAAGGTCATTCTACAATACGTATCGTAAGTTGTAAGCCGTAAGAACTGACCAATTATGGCCGATTATTTTTATAATAATTGATTGTGATTCGCCAATTCTTACGGCTGACAACTTACGACACGTATTGTAGAATGACCTTAAGGTTGCGAACTTTGCCGATAATTCTGAACTGTCGTGCTTACTGGTGTACGTCGTTATCGCGCGCTTCAATGTAGACAACTCACGTCGTGAACGATTATTGCCGTAATGCGAAAAGACACTCAGGTTTATGCGGAATTGCGCAGGACAATCTCCGCCCCGATGAAGCTTCAGCTCGGCATTTCATAACCGGTGCGCGCGGTTTGATGTTCGCGCATCAGTTTTCACGATGGCTTCTCCAATGAGTTCTGAAGCTGCCCTCTTTGAAAAAAGAACCCTATAGCGATCTTCATCGACGCAAGAGTTTTGCATCAAAGATTAAACGAAGTCCGCTAATTAAATTTTGGAGATACGTGCGGGATCTTCCGCAGGCACTAGATACATTTTTCTTCAGGAGAAATCTCACTGCCGCATACTCAAGAGCGCTTAGAGTGCTCGAGGCTGAAATTGCGAGATTTCGGCACGTCATCGGGCGTATAAATTCTTCGCGCTCCACAGATCTTGCCACGATATTGGCAGTTTGCGTGAAAATACTGTCAGACTAAGTGAAAAGAGTCCACTCGACAACAGTTGGTTGCGATACGTCATTTGGGGGACAAAATTTAATACAGTATTGCCGTTACTATCGGCTGAGTTGCCACGTGCGGGCAAGATGCCAAAATTCTCAAAACCAACTAGATTGGCACCTAAGCCGCAAAGAGTTAAATGACATTCGGCATGACTGTTATACGTACACATCGTGCACTGGAAGTAAGAAAAATGATGTGACTGGAAATGTGAACATAAAAAGAAGAAAATTGGCTTGAGAGCGGCAGAGGTGGGGGAAGAGATAGATGGGCTAATTTAAAGCTGAGATTACGATATATTTTGTTTGTTGTCGTTTCATCGAGGTTTAGCTTCCCCGAATAGAAAAATTAATAGGGTTCTAGTAAGGGCTTGATTATTTTTCTCTAACATTAATCGGGCCCTAGTAGGGATAGAAAGACAAAGGTCCTACAAGATATATGAAAAATGATTTAACGAGTCCTTATAAGGCAATATTATAAGGGCCTTATAAGGCAATATTAATAGGATCTTATAAGGAAATATGTTTATTATTGCTTGAATAAAAATATTTTTTCTTTTCATTCCAAGAAATTTAGACTGTAATTTCTTTATTTCTGTATAACCCTGTTAGTATACAACAAGAATTTTTTATTTTGAAAATATAGCATACTTTACAATCAAATATAGCATTATTTACACATAAAAATTCTGCTACTATTTTTGTTAAAATTTGCTGCATTTTTCAAAGGAAAGCAATACTAGAAAAATCCTTGGAAAAGACTAATGAATATGACAACTAATAAAACTAATAAAATTTGTTTTTAATAGCGGTATAATTAAAAAATCTTTAAAAGAACCAGATAGAGCGTATCTGCCAAAACAATACTAAGCTATGACAATTTTATTACACGCTTTAGATCTTATTAATTTTCTATAATAAAACTTAATTTAAGCTTAAAGCACCCTCTTAAAAGATCTTTCTAAGGCCCATATCAATTTTTTATGTTAAAGTTATTTCGTAAAATCTAAGGCATCCCTAATAAATCCTTCTAAGACCTATCCCAGCTTTCTCTATTAAAAGCTTATTTATTAAATCTAAGAAGATATCCCTAAAAAGATCCTTCTAAGGCCCTTCACAGCTTTTCGTATCAAAGCCTTATTTTATGAAATCTAAGCCATCCTTCTAAGGTCTTTATCAGTTTTCCCTATCAAAGCCTTATTTATTAGATCTAAGGCCCTTACAAATTCTTCTAAGGCCCTCATCAGTTTTCCTTATTAAAATCTTATTTCGTAATATTTCGTAAGAAGGTATCCCTATAAGATCCATTTCGGGGCCTGGTGTGGTAATAATGAGGCATCCCTTTTTAGCGCATCCTACTTTCAGCCTTATTGAGGCCTTATGCTTCATATCACTGCAGTTTTTGCACTGCAGTAGCAGTTTTTTGTTTGGGTCATGTTGCTGTGAAAATCAATCGTTTCGAGTGTGTCGAATAACATTCGACATAACTGCAGTGTCCTCTGAAGAGTGTCCCGTAAAAATTTTCAAGAAAATTTCTCAAGATTTTCTCAAAACAGCTAATTCTTGCTCTTAATCTTAATAAATTGCTCTTATCTTAAATAAAATTATATAGATGATCCAGATAAATTTCTGACACTCTGACTTTTATTTCTCTTTCTTTAACTAGATAATATAAATGTGTATTATCCTTATTTCCATCGCTTAAATTGAAGGAACCTGTTATATTTCCAAAATTATCCAGGCTACGTTCGTAGATAATTTAGTTAATATTGCTGCAAAGGTGTAAAATATTGAAACATTTGCAAATGTGTTAAACGACATTAAAACTGATTGTGGTTGCTTTCGGATTTATCGAGACAAAGTGCTAAGAAGAATTTATATCTTTTATCTTATTTTTATCTAGTTAATTTTAAAATCATCTAAGCATAATATTGGAAGCAATATAATTTCTAAACAAAATTTGTTGAAACTCACATAACTCATAACTTATTTCACGTAACGCCAATTGAAAACTCCATTTTTATCCTAAACATGACTCTTTCGTCTATCCAAACAAAAATTGCGCACGATGGTACAAGTTCCTTTTTCTCTAGATAAAATCTAGATAAAAATAGATAAAATCACCATATTTCCATAGTATTACATAGGAAGCTCCTTCTCTATACTATACTATATCCTTCTCTATACTAACTACTGAATTCAATAGAATAAAAACTGAATAAAATATAAAACTTTAGGCATTTACACTTCTGAAATATTTATTAGGTGTATAAATTAATTCTTGACCTCTACATTAAGTCGACTACAGCACCTGTTCAAATTGAATTCTTTTCTCTCTGAATAGTCGTTTTAAAGCGCCATCTCTAAGTATTAAAACGAGCTATAATAGTTGACGGTACTACTGACATAATCTCAAATAACAGCAATAAAAGCAATATCGTTCGAAAAACAGCATATGAGGCACTGTCTCCTTTTCTAACTTAAAAAATATGCTGCAGAAGTACAAAAAATGGTTTGTTTAACCTTGGACGAAAATGCTGTGTCCTACAACACGTGTAAAAAGTGGTTTCAGAAGTTCCGGGATGGAAATTTTGATCTTCAGGATAAAGAATGCCCTAAACAACCACAAAAAATTGAAAATGAGGAATTGGAGAAATTACTCAACGAAAATCCTTGTCAGACGCAAAAGGAGCTTGCTGAGGAACTGGAAGTCACTCAACCGGCTATTTCTATATGTTTAAAGAAGCTCAGAAAAATACAGAATCAAAATTATGCCAAAAAGGCCAAGAATTAATTTATACACTTAATATAATAATTATATTGCACTTGCACTATAATACCAAAGTGCAAATATTTAAAAGTGTTTCTCTTATATTTCCCTCAGTTCCAACTTCAAATCAGAGGACATCTTTCAAAAAATGTCCGTCAGATCAAACGAAAAATCTCTTCTTGTATCTCCTATAATTCACAATTTTTCCTAGAAAATCGCATTAGAATCAAATTAGGTCCTACAAAATTTTTCACACGAGACACACACATGCTACACCAGAAAGATATCCGCTCGTATAGACTGGGAAGTGATGTAAAAGAGAAAATTGCATCGTGAGGAAGGTAGGGGAGAATAGATAGACTCGTTCACGAGCACAAACACCTATTTCCCACATCGTAAAGCGAGTCGTAGGCGACGCTCTATTGAGTTTTCGTCATGCTCAAATAATCGTAACCGGAAAAGACCTTTCGACCTGGTCCGCCCAGCGGCATATCTACCAGTCTGTGATGTAGCAACACATATTCTCATTCACAAAAAGCTAGCCGTCTTGGGCGGCCCAGAGCCTGGGCTTAACCGCGCGCGGTCGTAAACATCGCGGACAATAATTCCGCGCTGTAAAACATCGCTACACGCCGGTGGCGGCGAGAGCCTACCTTCGTCCTGGTTGTTCCCGATCATGACCTCGGTCTTCTCGAAGACCGCCTCCCGTACCAGCTCCAGCGGGTCCTTGGGCAAGAAGATGCCGTCTATGGTGGGCGCAGACGGGAAACCGAGGATGCCGCTGTAGCTGTTCCACTGCTGCACGGACAAGGTTTTGGCGTCGACCGAGCGCATGCAGGCCATGACTCGCGCCGGGTTCTCCTGGAGCATCGTCGAGTTGCATCCACAGTCGTCCACAAGCACGCGCGCCACCTCATTCGCCCTTTCGCCGCTCATGTAGCTCCACGGGGCGTTAAGGGTACCGCTTTGAAGAATGCCGCGACGCACCAGGTTCTGCGTGACCGGCGAGAGCAAGAGGAGGGACACGGAGCTGCCGCCTGCAGACTCGCCAAAGATCGTAATGAGGTCGGGGTCGCCACCGAAAGCGGGCGCATTCTCGCGCAACCACTTAAGCGCTAACGCTTGATCCCAGAGGCCCATATTGCCAGGTGCTTCTTCGCTACCCTTGCTGAAGTGCTGGTTCAGGTAGAGGAAGCCGAACGCGCCTACCCGGTACTGTATCGACGCGATGATCGCGTTGCTAGCTGCGGCCATGATGTCAGCGTCGTAAATGTCGAGGGTAGCAGTGCCACTCATGAAGCCGCCACCATAGATCCACACCAAGATCGCCATGCCGTTGTTGCCGGAGCTACTCCCTGGCTCGGAGCCCTTGTGGCGCAGACGCAGCTTCTGCGGCACCCAAATGTTCAGGTAGAGACAGTCCTCGGAGATGTTCGTGTTCGGATTCCACATCTCCTCGCCTTCGAAGCCGGGGAAGTACTCGTAGCGCTCTTGGTAGCAGCTGTTGGGCAACGTGGTCGCGTTTAAGATGCCATGCCAAGGCTCGATCGGCACTGGCTTGCGGAAGCGCAGCGGCCCGATCGGCGGCTTCGCGAACGGCACTCCGTAGAAAGCGTGGACTTCGCGGTCGAGCACCGTGCGGGAGAAGCCGCGCATCAGACCACTGCTGGTCTCCACCACCAGCGGATCGCGACCAGGTTCACCGCCTCCGTTGCCACCACCGCCGCCGCCGCCGCTGCCATGTTGCCCGGCGACATTGGCCCGCGTGATGCATGCGCTGTGTAAGCTCAGGCCCAGCAGCAACAGCAGCAATGAGGACGGGCAGTTCATCCAGGAACTCATGATTGGGCACAATCGTCGTGTCCTCGATGCTGCACGCCGGTCGATTATATCGTCTTTCTCGTTCGCGCGCTTTCACGTTGACGCGAACCCTTCGACGCTTCTCGTGTCCTTTGTGTTCTCAAGGTTCACAGGCGCGAGTAATTCGACTACTCGCCTGCCACTAGTGGCCACGACCGATGAGACTCCATGAGCGTCGACTTTGCACTGAAGTGAATTTGCTCGGTTATCACTTGATGTTTGGCGTCTAAGGACTCGCCAGGACCTCATTCACCACGAGACTCGCCGCAAATCGCTATGCCTCTTGTCGTTCTTGACTTCGTCCTCGTTGTTGTTATTATTATCGTCGTCGTGATGGTGGCGGTGACGCTTGTTGGTGTCTTCGTTGACGTCTGGGGAGATACATAAGAAAGGAGTTCGCTCTTCTTACGCATACACGCTGTATATCGGGAGGGCCGCGAAGCCAAGCGGGAGCAGGGGAGGGCAATCCTTCAGCGAAGAATAAGACGATTTTGAGGAATAGAGCTCCCTTAGGTGGATCGTCGATCTTGCGCAAGCTGCACTCAATGCACTTTGCTCGCTACTTTTTAACAGAGGAGGGAAAACTTCGGCGCGGTGAGCCGCACGTCTCGAGCTTGTTGTGTTTTCAGCGTTGTGCTGCGCGTCTCTGTTCTGTTATCGATTTTCACGGGACGCCGAGGAAGTCGCTCGATTTCCGGCCAAATTTTCACGCGATACTCGAAGATCCGCATTGAAGCGCGGCTAGTTTCGCGCGAAACCGAAATGTACTTCGCAAACTAGTGCAATCGACGGCAATTACTCGATTTTCTTCCTAATACCGACGGCAACATTTTACGAGTTATATTAAACAGATACATGTTTGCGAATTTTATGAATAAGAGATACACGTTTGGTTGAATATCGCCCAATAATTCATCAAAAATCTATCAATCTTTACTTATCGTAAGTTGAAATCAACATTTCCGTTTTCCTTTTACTCTTAAGAAAATTTTCGTATATCATTTTTCGAAAAACTGTTTGCACAACCGGGAAGCGTTTAATATTATTGTGAGGGTTAGGAAAATGACATATTTGAGAATTTTTTCAACTTTTACAAAATTCAAATGCTACAATACGACGAAAGTACATGCGAAAATGAACTGGAGCGTTGTTTAACACGCGACGAGAACGACGATAAAAGTTGAACTTTCCGAACTTATCAATTAGCGCGAATACTCGCCAGATACTTCGAAATCCTCTTAATTCTCTTGTATTGTCATCTCGTTTCGTGGCTTTTAAAACGCGACATCACCAGGCGCAAAACAGATGAGACAAAAATGTGCGAATGGCACGTTTTTTGCTTGAGCTTAGTTTGAGTACTGTTTCAGCAGTGACGAGAGTTAAACGTAAGTATTATTATGAGGAAGTTACGAAGATAGAAGCATGTCAAGTTTAAAGCACGGCTCGTTAGAGAACTGCACAGCTCGTATGGAGAACTTTATTCTTTCAGATTATCCTGCTCTTCGCAAAGAAGTCGCCTCCCACCTCCTTCTGTCTCTTTACATCTTTTTCTCTATCATTCTCTTTTTGTCTCTCTTGCAACAGCAGCGCCACTCATTCGGAGAACACACGTTTGTCCCGGAGAGTATTAATACACGACTAATTTCAGTCAATTTCGTTGTTAATTTCAGCCCGCGAGAGATACACGGGAGAACATTTCCGCTCGAGTTCTCGAAACGTAAATGTTGAAATGGAAATACCCGGTAAAGAAAAAAAAATATCGGTCATGCATTGAATTTTATAGAGCGACACCGGTGTGTTACGACGGGCACTTTCTTTTGCCGCGAGAAATTTTTATAGGTCATTGAAAAGTAATATCTGCGTAAAAGATTTAGAATTGTCATAAAGCGTTTCCCATGGGCGGCGTATCTGCCAAGAGAGAGACTCAACAAGTTAGGGAGTGGAAAGCCGGCATTTGCGCTCTGGGACGCCAACTCTCCTCTTCCACCCCCTTGCCCTCCGCCTTTCTCTTTCTTTCTCCCCCTAATACTCTCTAAACCTATTGCAAAAAATAAAAAAGGAAAGAAAGGAGGATCAAACGAAATATCTCGAGTAATCTCATCGAGTAAACCAATTTAGCGGAAGGCTGTTTGAGAAGAATTGGCGTCACGCGAACGAGCGATAAAGGCGTGTCATATTGTAAGTGGAACGGCAGTGTCGTTAAGAAGAAGTCGGCTAAACGCGATAATCGTTATCACGCGTGATGCCAGATTATTTCACGTGCGATTGAGTGATAATTAACGTACTTGGCATGTAACGCGAGAGATTACGCCTCTCCGGCGACTAAACTGGCAATTGTTATTCTATTCCCGGGAAAAATATTATTACAGGTAAATTTTATCCGTACGTAGTTGTATATAATCACATGAGATATTTCCACGTTAAAAAGGATGTTGCACGAGTACAATAGAAGTGAATGCTTATATCTGTGGCAGAGCCCATGGTGTTGACGTTCAATTGAATCTAACACTATTCTTTCCTTCACATTGTGGCTTTCTGGATTTGCTTATCATTAAGAAGTTGTTGAAACACCCGGACATTGCAGTTTGACGAATACCTTGACTATATTGGACACTTCAAGTCGTTTCGTTTAGTGTAAAACCTGTGCATAGGCTCTTATTGGCTTTCTTCTTATTAACATGATTACTTATTATTAGTCTTTCTAAATATTTTCATTGCTATTTTTTCCTTCCTTTAAAAGTAACAGTATTTTTTCCCGCGTGGACGTATGTAATTACGTATGATTATACAGGATGACACCGAAAAAAATGGCCAAACTTCGGCATTGTATTCTTCCTGTACTCTTCCTAAGGATGAAAAAAGTCATATAAACATAGGTTCAGAAACTCTTCCTTTCCGAGATATAAACACTACACAGGTTTTTGGTTTATGATCGAGTATTGTAGGAATGTTTGAAGCTTAGTTAATACGCATGCATTAATCACTCTTGACACCAACACCAGTTTTTATGCAACGTGTGGGTTGGAATTATTGGAGACTTGCCTATTAGGACCAGTTTTTTTTCCATTTATACCCAATGATAGAAATTATACACAATTTTTGGAAACTGGACTTTCTATACTATTACTTTCTACTATTACTTTCTAGTATTATTTAATACTATTACAAGGTGTACCATTGATAACACGCACTCGAATGTGGTTTATGCATGATGGACCTCCGGTCTATTTTAGTCCAATTGCTGGAGAATATTTTAATAACAATTATACCAATTGGTGGATTGACAGAGGAGGACCAATCGCCTGGCCTGCACGCTTCCCTGATTTAATTCCTTTAGATTTTTATTTGTAGAGACATCTTAACAATTTAGTCTATGATAATAATACTACTGATAGTCTGGAGACACTCAAAAACCAAATTATTGCTGTATGTGAAAAAATGCGGTATACATTAAGAATTTTTGAATGTCTTCGGTAGTCTCTGCAACGTCGATGTGAAGCGTGTATTATTGCAGAAGAGAATTATTTCCAGCAATTTCTTTAAGTAAGCTTTAAACATTCCTACAATATTCAATCATAAACAAGAAAGTGTTTATATCTCGGCAAGGAAGAGTTTCCAGATTTATTTTTATATGACCTCTTTTCCTTAGGAAGAATAGAATACGGTACCGAAGTTTGGCCACCTTTTCCGGTGTCACCTTGTATATGCAACCACATTTCGAAATAAAATTCATATATAATTATATATACAGTGACTTGTTTGAAATTTCTGTCTAAAATATCTCGAAAGAAATGCGTTATTCAAAAAAAATGTTTCAGGTAAAAGTGTGAACAAGGTCATCTCAAGGTCACTTTTCATTGTCCCCTTAAAACGAAACAACTTTTGTTTGAGACATTTATTACGAATAATGCATTTCTTTCGAGATATTTTAAGTAAGCGTTTGAAATGTAGGTCAATCTTATAATTACATATCACTAGTATATAATCACACATGCAATTTTCTATAATTATGCATAATCATTAATTTTCTCCCGCGGAATGTAATATCGTAAAATAATATTTCCTGCAGTAGAACGACCATTATTATCTCTTGGCTACGAGACGAAACACAGCGCATTAATCCTTGATGAGTAACGGCTCGTGAGTCGCCCGGCGGCCGGTGAGTCGATCGGCTGCAACCTTAGTTTCTCTAACTCTTTGCCCGCTTCCTGAACTAGGATTAGAAAGAGACGGAAAGTAAGTTAAACTACGCTGAAAGTTAAGCCGGCGTCTTCGTGAGGCCGGTCATATATGCTTCGATCCGCTAATCACGTGAACGACGCTCGGCATTAATAATCGCATTCCAACTTCTCACTGATTATCGTATTACGCGATCGTTTACGTCGTACGCTAATAATAGCGTATTTTGGGCGAAATGGTTCCTACTTCCGAGCGCAGTATCCGCCGTAAACCACAGCGCCGGAATACCGCGCGGTGTCGATTGCGATAATGCAGTCTACCACCGAATCAGTATTAAAGCTTCATCAGCCAAAGATGGAATCTTGCGACACAGCGTATATACGTTGTACTATGTTGTTGGGCTATTAAACATCAATCATGCATGCGATATTTAGAATACACTATCGAGAGTATATCCTCCGACTTACTGCCAGCATCGGTCGGCCGTCGTTTTCGTTCAAATTGCAGATCTCAAGTTACAAAAAGTGAAACGCGAAGGAAAGAAAATTTTTTACGATCACCCCGTATGAGGAAAATTCGCTTCTCGATTAATTACGGAGAAAAAAAAAGCATGAGAGAATATGAAATACCGATTATATATCTTTAGAAGAATCCGGATTGATAATTAACATTCAGCGAGTGAAGTTCCCGCGAAGCTGCGATTTTGCTGCACACCAACAACGGTGTATGCAGACAGAAATCAGCCTTTGCAAAAGCAAACAGAAAAGAGAAGAACCATCTTTCGGTTTTACGTAAAACGGTCCCGCGTAAAACTGACGAATATTCTGATAGGAAATGTGGTAGTCTGGTAATACAAACGGCGACAACTCTGCAATAATGTTTGCTCGAATAAACTGTGTTTTCATTCTTACGTGAGTAAAAGCGATATTTTCAGAAATCTTGTCCCTTGATGTTCCGTATAATGTGTGATACAAGAGAAATCGCAAAGCGTTTTGCCAAAGAGAAGAAGATAAAAAAATACCTCGAACTTTCGATGCAAACTCGGAATTTTCGTCCACGCGGTTCGTCTTCGGAAAGAGCAGAAGTTCTTATTATGCGATTTTCTATTTCATTTATGATTTTTAGCGTCTTCGAGATTGCGTTTATATCGCGATGTACGCACGCCACACGTCCGATGTTTTCACATTTTTCCATAGAGAAAAGCGAAAGGTGAAATCGGGCGCATCCCGACACCTCATATTTCTTCCTTCATCCTGCATATTGGAACACAAGTTTCTCGTCAGAAGGAAGAAATATCCCAACGAACGCGCCTTGAGACCGTCTGAGTGATAAATAATCGGTCGACACTACTCGACAGGGCTATCATCGCTGTCGCTCGTGTGAGCGCGTCAAATTGCGAGGACGAGCGTCTTCACGGACAAAACTTCGCTCGTCCTCAGGACCGATTGCCACAAAGTAATCGCATCGCACTTCTTCGTAACAACCGCCGTGACCGTTCCGGTTGCACCGTGAAGTCGCAACCGTAACGGCGAGCTATTCCTTACGAGAACCATGACTCCTCAAACGAACCAACTTCTACTCTCTAACCCGATCACCCCCTGCTGCGGTCCTCCCGATTCTTCATCTCTTCCATCCTCCTTTCCTCCCTTCCTTCCTTCCTTTCGTCCTCCCTTCCTTCTCGTCTTCTAAGCTCAGTAAGCCCTAATCTTCCCTCCCATATACACTCGTGCACAATGCACACGCGCGTACTCCGGATATAGAGTTTCACCCTTTGAGATTCCGCTTACTAATTCCTCTTTTTACACCTCCCGCCGCCGAATGTATCTTTTCTCGAGCGAGCTCGCGTCACATCTCGCGACGTACTCCTATCCTCCGCTCGTCCCCCGACGCTTGATGACGTTCCCGGACAGAAATTACAAGCTTGACGTTATAACTGTAATTGGCGGGTCACGAAAATAGCAACGCACTACGTACGTAAAGATGTACACAGTTATCACGCGACGGCCAGCGTGCCGCGTTGCACGGGGTCGACTGATCGAGAAGGTGGTACGAAGTGGCGGCGGCGACGGCGGCGGCGGCAGCGGCGGCGGTGGTGGCGGCGGCGGCGGTAGTGGTGGTGGTGGAGCAGGTGGTGGTAGTGGTGGTGGTGGAGCAGGTGGTGGTAGTGGTGGTGGTGGTGGTGGTGGTGGTGGTGATGCTGTTGCTGCTGATAGTAGTAGTAGTGGTGGTAGTAGAGGCGCACGCCTCGCGCATAAGCCGCGCGCTCATATCTACAAGCGACCCAATCTTCAAACGTTGTCCTTGCTCCCTCTCCGATTCTCCGATTCTCTTTCTCTACCTATTTCTCTCTCCCTTTCTCTCCTACTTTCTGCTCCTCTCTCTCTCTCTCTCTCTCTCTCTCTCTCTCTCTCTCTCTCTCTCTCTCTCTCTCCTTACCGCTCTGCCTCTCTCTGTCTCTCTTTCTCCCTGCTTCTCCCTCGCGGTTTCATCCGTCCGCACGCCCACGTCATTCCACCTACGGCGGTATCTCTACCCTCGACTTTACCTTTTGGTCCTTAATCACCCGAGCGCACGGGGAAGCGCTGAATGCCGGGGAGCCGAAGAAATCATCGCCATTTCTTCTTGTTTCGATAAGGAGCGTCAATGAGCTTCACGCCGCTCCATTCCACAGCAGATAGATCACGGCAGATCGAGAGATGGTGTGATGGTTTGGTATAACTATTATATAGCGGGAGCATGTCGCATGTGGAGAGGTGTATCTCGTGTGCAATCTTTTACTTCTGGCCTCTGCTCCGCTCATCCCTCTATCGCGGTTCCTTTCTGTGTGACATGTGATACGCCACCGAAGGTTTGGCGCGTCTTATTAAGCGGTGCTCCGATTCTGCGGATGGGAGTCTTGCATGTTGATCCTTCGGCGTAGTGTGCATCATTTCTTTGCGAATTGATTTGTTTGCTGTACAACGAGGTAAGCGAGCGATATAATTAAAAGCGTCGATCCATAATGAAACAAGCCCAATTACTTTTCGATGATAGCGCTCTCATTTATTCCGGTTATTTTTTAACGATTTTCTGATGGCTATTAAGCACAGCTACAATATATTTAAGGGTTAAAACGGCAAATCGATCGACAGTTCCCCTTTTCTTTTTTTACGTTTCGCACAAATCGCGCGGAATTCCAAATATGTTTCCATCGTAACTCATAATGTTATTTTTAACGCTTAACTGTTATTTTATTTGTATTCTTGAATTGTCACATTTTCACCGGACGAGAGTCGATAACGAATAAACGTGAAAATAAACGTGGAAAATAAAAAAAAAAGGTTAGAAAAACGATTTTTGTGTTTTCACGGCGAAATCTGAAACTGTCGAAATTACACCCGTATCAATCGCTTTGCATATACATCACGCGTTACACATTTGCGACCAAAGCTACGTTTTAAATTCTTCATAATCTCGTAATGGAGATGTAATCTATTCGCGAACGGTAACTCTGTTTTTCTGTATTCTGTCTCTGTCATTAAATTGTCTCTTTACGGTGGAAAATTAGCTATATTCTAGGAAAATGGTAATGCATGTCATAAAGAAAAGAGAAAGAAGAAAAGAAATGATTCCGTTTTATTTATTATTCTGAGTCGAGGTGTTGTTTTGTACTTCGCATAGGATGCGTCCTTATCGGTTGCAGTAATTTACCGTAAACCCTAAATAACTTAATTATTACCCGGAGATTACAGTTACGAGAGAAGCAACGAGAAGCAATTATCTGGAAAGGGATTACCCGGAATTTCGTTTCAATTTTTTACCGATATTTTACGCTCTTTATGCGACGCGAGCATACAACATCGTTGTTTTAATTGCAATTAAAATCACGATGAAAATAACTACTTTATTTTTAAGAGTAATACACATGATCGTCTCGGATTTTTATCAGTTAAATATTGAGAAACGTCGCGATGTTGCAAGTATGCATATTTAATAATTTTTCAAGCAATTACAAGACGAATAAGTTGTTCTATTTCAACAAATATCCTAATTTTAATGCTTATTTTTGTCTTGCAAAAAATGTTTGAACATCATTAATTCTAGAATCTACTTTAAACAGTTAAAAGACGAGTCATTTTACAGTTGTTGCTGAGAATTGACTATCACACATAAAATGTATTTGCTGCGAGATAAAAATTTGTTAACTGATATTATAAAAATGCACATTAGCACAAATAACTAAGAAAATGGCAGCTACTCTAAAATATCTTATCACTTACATGTACTAAAATGTTATATATCTCTGATAGAGACTATTTCTTACAAGTAACACTACCCAACTGTCACTCACCGATTCCAATCAAATTTGGCATGCACGTAGAACATTGAAAAATATTGAACACGTGTTTTTTATATCGGCTGACGCATTTTAAGGATAGAAATCACCCCTTGTTCCCTGAACATGAAAGCATTATTTCAACCCTTTGTACATATTACATGTAATTTTCGTCAAACTTGTCTTCTATTGAACTAGTCAGTAAGGGAATTTTAGGGTCGATAAAATTACAAAATTCAAAATAGCGGACCCAATATGGCGGACCGAAATTATAAAAAGATGGCTGATTCAAACCAACTTTAGTATCTGGAGGTATTTGGGGCCTCTAATTACGAATCTAGAGATAAAATTACAAAATTCAAGATGGCGGAATATGACGCAATATGACAGATTGAAATTGTACCAATGAAGGAGGATATTGCCTTTACTGAATTTAACAATGAATCGGTACTCAAAATTGACCTGTCGCGTTAGTTTTTTTCATATTAGGAAGTTGATCTTCCAAAAGATTATTATCCGTCAATATCCGAGCGGAATATGTAATGATATTCTGACATATCTTGATAAGATATAGATATAAATCTTAATTTCTTATGCCTTATACTTATTCATATATTTATTAGGTGCGCAACTAAGTTCCCGCTGTTTTTCAAGAGATGGCTCCAATAGTAAGTGCTGGTCGATTATGACATAACCAAAACGTCATGAACCAAGCTTAGACATATGGTAAACAAACCGCTTTGACACATTAGTGATTTTGTTTTTGCGTCATATACTTTTGGTTGTGTGAAAATGTCTGATTTTGTGCCAAATAATCGTCATTTGCGGGAAGTGTTGCTTTTCTTCTTTCATTCGAAGAAAACGGCGGCTGAAGCGCATCGAGAACTCCAAAAAGTTTACGGAGATGCTGCTCTAAGTGAAACAACATGCCGTGATTGGTTCCGTCGCTTCAAAGACGGTGATTTCGATGTTGACGACCGTTCGCGTGAAGGAAGGCCAAAAACCTTCGAAGACGCTGAATTGGAGGCATTGCTCGATGAGGATCCGTGCCAAACGCAAAAAGAGCTTGCTTCAGCATTAGGAGTTACCCGCCAAGCCATTTCCAAGCGATTGCATGCGTTGGGAATGATTCAAAAACAAGGAACTTGGGTTCCTTATGATTTGAAGCCAAGAGACGTTGAGCGTCGTTTTTTCGCCTGTGAACAACTGCTCCAGCGGCAAAAAAGGAAGGGTTTTCTTCATCGCATCGTTATGGGTGATGAAAAATGGATTCATTACAGCAACCTAAAGAGAACAAAATCATGGGGACTGCCCGGTCATGCTTCTACGTCGTCGACTCGGCCGAATATTCACGCTGCGAAGGTTTTGCTGTGTATTTGGTGGGACCAGGGCGGTGTTATTTATTATGAGCTGTTGAAACCGAACGAAACCATCACTGGGGAACGGTATCGAACTCAATTGATGCGATTGAGCCGAGCATTGCGCGAAAAGCGGCCACAATACGAGCAGAGGCACGAAAAAGTGATTCTACAGCATGACAACGCTCGGCCTCACGTTGCCAAACTTGTTAAAACCTACTTAGAAACGCTCAAATGGGAAGTCCTACCCCACCCGCCATATTCCCCAGATATTGCGCCGTCTGATTATTACTTGTTCCGTTCGATGGCACATGGTCTGGCTAATCAGCAGTTCCGCTCATA